TGGCATAGCTTCCAGAACACAGCAACATGCATGCTACCTTAGTATGACAAACTGACAGATGAGTGTTGGAAAATTGAACCTAGGACTGACTAAAAAATACTGTCAAACTTTATATACAAGATTTCTTCCCTTGAAAAAGACTTCTTTTTATAAGAAATACATTAGATTATTCATCATGAACATAACAGGCAGCAATGCTCTACGAAGTCATAGCCAACAGAATTTAAAAAAATATCAAAAAAATAATACATTATGACCATGTGGGATTCATACCAGGTATGTAAATATGATTCAATATTAGAAAAACAATCAACATAACCTATCACATAAATAAAAAAAGGAAGAGTACATGACCAAATCAATTGGCCCAGGAAAGCATTTGTCAAAATCCAACATCCATTCCTAAATAAACACGCAACAAAAAAGGAATAGAAGAGTATTCATCAACATAATTAAGAGCATATATACGAAACCAAATGTCAACATTACTATCATTGTAGAGAAACTGAAAGCATCCCCCTAGCAAGCAGGAACCAGACAAGGATGAACTTTATCACCACACCTATTCAACACTGTGCTGGAAATCTTCCCCAGAGCTATAAAACAAGAAAGGGAACTTAAAGGCAACCAAATACGCAATGAAGAAGCAAAACTCTATTTGTAGATGATTTAATCCTAAACAGACAAAATTCCAAAGACCTAGCAAGAAAATGATTGGAAGCCATTGAAAGATTCAGCAAAATGGCAAGATCAACATCCAAAAATCAGTTGTATTCCTGTACACTTTTAATAAAGAGACCTCTGAAAAGGAAATCAGGAAAACAATACCATTTATAATTGCCAACCAAAAGAACAAATGCTTGGGAATAAATTCAATCAGAGAAACAAAAGGCCTATACAAAGAAAATTATAAAACATTACTACAAGAAACCAAAAGAGACCTGCAGAAATGGAGGAATAGACTATTTCGTGGATGGAAAGCCAACATTTTGAAAAAAATCAACACTACTCAAATCAATCTATAGATATAATGCTTTCCCAATTCAGATTCCAACATCAATCTTTAAAGAGATGGAAAAATAGATCACTAACTTTATCTGGAAATAAAGAGACCTTGGATAAGTAAAGTATTACATGAGACAAGAAGCTCTGGTAGTGAAGTGGTTATGCATCGGGCTGCAAACCTCAAGGTCAGCAGTTCGAAACTGCAGCTGTTCCACGGGAGAAAGATGAGGCTTTCTGCTCCCGTAGAGATTTACAGCCTCGGAAACCTTGTACAGGGTCACTCTGAGTTGGAACCGACTCCACGGCATATCACCACCACCAACAACAACACAAAGAACAAAGTTGGGGGCCTCTCACTTCCTGATCTCAAAATCTACTATAGATCCATCAACATTGGTCAAACAGCCTGGTACTGGTACAATGAAAGATACATAGATCAAGGGAACAGAATTGAGGGCCCAGATGTAAATCCATCCGCATACATTGACAAAGGGCCATAACACATTAAGTGGGGAAGAAATAGTCTCTTCAACAAATTGTGTTGGCAAAACTGGAAATCTGTTCACAGGAAAATGAAGGAAGACTCTTATCACTATATAAAAAACAAAATCACTGTGGACCAAAGACTTAAATAAAAACCTAGAACTATAGAGATCATCAATGATAACATAGGGACGAACTTAAGAGCTCTAATACATAGCATAAATACACTATCAAACAGGATTTAAAACACAAAGAGCAGAAAACAAAAGAGATGATGGCTCAGACCTCCTTAAATATTATACACATAAGAGCATCAAAAGATTTCACCAAAGAGTAAAAAGAGAACCCACAGGCTGAGATAATTTGTTTTCCAATGACATATCAGATAAAGGACTCATCTTGAAAGTTCATACAAAACTTCAACACTTGTTCAAGAAAAAGGCAAACAATTGAATTTAAAAATGGGCAGAGGACATAAACAGACACTTCACCAAAGAAGACAGTCAGGTAGCCAACAAACATATGAAGAAACATTTACAATTATTAGCCATAAGAAAAATGAAAATTAAAAAAAAAAAGTGAGATATCATCTAATCCCAACTTTAATAGCAAAGTTAAAAAAATCAGAAAACAACAAATGCTTAGTGAGGGATTAGAGAAACTGGGACCCTTCTACACTGTTGGTGGGATTGTAAAATGGTGCAACCACTATAGAAAATGGTATGGTACTTCCTCAAAAAATTGGAAATAGAAGTATCATATGACCCAGCAGTTTCTCTCCTTGATTTATATCCACAAGAAATAAGAGCTAGAACGTGAGTAGATATATGCATGCTCATGTTCACTGCAGCACTATTCACAATAACAAAAAGATGGAGACAGCCTAAACGCCAATCAATGGAAGAGTTGTTGTTGTGAAGTGCCGTCGCGTTGATTCCGACCCATAGTGATCCTGTATAGGGTTTCCAAGGAGCAGCAGATGAGCTTTAACCACCGGCCTTGCAGTTCCAACAACTTTGCACTCTGACGCATTAGTTCACATCGCCACAATGGAAGAGTAAACAATATTTGGTACCTACATATGATGGAATACTGAATGATTCCATCCAGTGCTGAATGATTTGGAATTTGCAAAACACCTCATAATATGGATGAACCTGGAGAATATTACACTGAATAAAATTAGTCAATCACAAAAGGATAAATAAGAGACTGCTATTTTAAAAACTCAAGAAAAGGTTTACATGCTAAAAAAAAAAATCTTTAATGGCTATCAGGATTGAGAGGGAAAGGAGAGCAATTCTCTGGTTAAAGGGAAGGCAATATACAGTAAGAGAGAGGTTGACAGAAGAATGATAAAGATGGGTGAAGACACAGGCAGGAATGCAAGGGTTAAAGAGAATGGAGATAAAAACTGTTATATACACAACCATGCAACAACAGTGTTCTTCTACAGGTAAAGGTAACATGGACAGATATACAGGTTGATTGGGTATGGGAGAGGGGGTGTACACTCACAAAATTGTAAGGGTTTGACAGAAGATAACTGTACATAGGCATTTACCTTTTCTGCAAACACACCCATGAATATGGTGGAACATACAGGGAGCAAAATTATGAAAACTTCTTCGACTTTACCAAACACATGAGACAATGCGTTGCTGGGTCTCTGGTATCAGGACCATACTCTCAAGGAACACCATGGTCAACTGGCATAAACACAGTTCACAACGACAATGTTGAAAATCCTATTTGGTGAGTAGCAACTGGGATCTTAAAAGTTCATGAGTGGCCATCTAAAATGCAACTATTGGTCTCTTCATGTGTGGAGGATGTAAGAGTGATGAAAACTGAAGAAGTTTGGAATACATAAGCTCAGTGGGCTAATGGAACATGTGAACATCAATTTTTACAACCCAGAGACCAGAACTAGATGGTGCCTGGCTACCACTATCATCTGCTCTAAAAGGGTTCACATTAGAATGTCCTGGATACAGTGGGAGAAAATGTGAAACAAAACATAAAATAATAAAAAAAAAGACCAGAGTTGCTGGTTGGAAAGAGATTGAAGGAACCCTGTACTACAGACCTCTGCCACTCCTCAGAGCTGAAATGGAACTCACACATACGGCTCTCTTTACAACCAATTGGTGGATAGATATTTTTCTGGTGCACAGTGACCCTGTACAGGATTTCTGAGGCTTTAAATCTTTATAGACGCAAAAAGCCTCAACTGTCTCCCATGGAGCAGCTGGTATATTTGAACTGCTGACTTTTCAGTAGTACTTTCCCCAACATGTAGCCCACTATGCTATCAGAACCCACAATGATACCAGAGATTCTTAGATAGGATATGGAGGGGGGTACAGGAGGTTTGGAGTTCTGGTGTGGCGCTGTAGGTTAATGCGTCAGACTGCAAAGCCGTTTGAACTGCAAGGTTGGCAGTTCAAGCTCACCAGCTGCTCCTCAGAAATCCTATACAAAGTCGCTATGGGTTGGAACTGACTTGGAGGCACTTAACAACAACATGGGAGATTTGGAAGGAGACAAAAAAACACTAGTAAGGATGCTCACTAAGGAGTGATCAACCATTCAAGATCAAAAGGGCAACATTTCCCTATGGACAAAGTTCAGAAGGGTTGGGAAGGAGGGTGGAATGGAAATAACAACCTTAGGGAAGAAGTGATAAAACTATTGTTACATGGGAGGGAGTGCAATCATTGAGATGAAACAAAGTATATGATCTGTTGAAAGCCAAACTGATGATCTGCTCTGTAAACCTTAATCTTCACTCAATTCACAATGAAAAATTTCTAACAAGAAATACATTAGGAGTTCAGAGAAGCCCAATCTGATACTGATATCTCTGTAAGGATCGTCCTAAAATTATGAATCCTCCAAAAGTTTGGTATAATTTGAGACTTCTTACCGTAAACACAAGTGTTTGAGATAATATCAATTAAATCTTTCAAAATGTCACATAGCCATAGCTACAATCTAATGAACACGTAAGCTACTATGCATGCTCTTTTTGAAGAAATTATAAGAAGGAAGTATTGTCCTTACTTTATAGACAAGGAAACTGATGCTCAAAAATGTTACATGAACTATCTAAAATCAAGAAGCGAGTTAAGTATCAGGACAAGGTTTTGATCTTACATATAGATAGGCTCAATATGTGGGCACTATATTTTGCACTAAATAAAACTTGAAAACGTTTAAAATGATTTTGAGTTATTGGAAAAAGACATCTTTATACTCACAATACTATTTCAATCAGAAAAAAGCCCTTTATGATCATTTTGAAAATAAAGATTTTCATCTTTATAACTCTAAACCCTGTGCTAAGTGGTTGTAGATACTCCTTATAATGAAATTCTTTTACTGAATAAAGCAAGGTTCTATCAAGACTAAAAACTGAAACCGGGGGTCAAGTTCACCTAAGCAGCTCTTTAAAAATATGACTAAAATAGGCTAATGAAAAACATAATATAACAAAATATAATACTTACCTCATCTTCAACATCAATAAATGTACTCATGTCTAGCTCCTCAGGAAAAGTCATCCGATCATTCAATTTAATCCTATGCATAGTTGTATAATCAAAATCAAATCTTTTCAATTGTAGGGTCAGTAGATAAGGAAAATGCAAAAACCGAAGCCCCTAAATAAAAAAAGAAACACCTACTGAATACTGAATGCCAGCTCAGAAAATTAAACTTTAATTTCTGTATGGTATCTACCTTTCGGGCATCACACTTCTTCTTACAGCGTTCACAAAAATATTGATTTGGACCATCCAGGATCTCTGGCTGAATAAATGCATGCAATGCTTCTTCCTAGTCAGGGGGAAAAGGTTTTACAATTATTTTTAAACATTATGATATTAACGACAAAGTACTGAATCTACAAACAGTGCAACTGTCTGTAAATAGACTGGCTAAAAAAGTAGAAAATCAAAAGGCATAGGGATGGGGGGTAGGGGTGTAGAATGGGGAGTCGGGGGCTGCAAAAGGTTCGTAGAAAAATTCCATTATCTTTTCATTACATTTTTCTATTTACTTTTTGAAGCCCCCTCATAACATTACCATTGTAAAAGTTGAGAAAAAATTAATCTTTTGTTTTATTCTGCATAAGATATACCTGTTATTTAAAAATAGTTATCTTGCTTCAAATCACTCGTTTCTATTTAAGTTTTATATTTGACTTTATGTTGTGGTGTTATAATCTAACAAAACTACCCAGTCTTTACATTAAAATGTAATCCCACTCTTCTTAGAGAAGTAGTAATCTTTTTGGAGAAGGTAACATTTTAAAACTGCTGAAGAAATCATATTATCCTGGTGTGGTGCTGTGGGTTAATACGCCAGACTGCAAAGTCGTTTGAAATGCAAGGTCGGAGGTTCAAGCTCACCAGCTGCTCCTCAGAAACCCTATACAGGGTCGCTATGGGTCGGAATCGACTCGACAGCACATCGAAACAACAACATACATTTAATAATCTAATGATTATCCCGATTCACTAATGTTAGGGTCAATAACCCACCACCAAACTAGTTTATAAAGAGTGAAAAACACTGTAACCTTCTCACTGTATGTCAGATAGTGGTCCATTTGAAAATGGATAATGAGAGCTCCTGAATTGTTCACCCAGCAAAACAATATGGTTCTCATTTCTCCAAACAGCCTTAAGGCAGAAGCAAAAAAAGTCAATAAGCATATTGTTAAAGAATCAAGTAGAGCCCTGGTATGGCACTGTGGGTTAATAAGCTTGACTGCAAAGTCAGTTTGAACAGCAAGGTCAGCAGTTCAACCTCACCAGCTGCTCCTTGGAAACCCTATACAGGGTCACTGTGGGTCAGAACTGACTCTATGGCACTTAACAACAACAACAAATAATCAAGGGAACATAGTCACTTTTCTGGACTAATGGAAAATCTAAAGAGAAACAATACAGATCATCTTGTGAACAAGGCACAGCACTTTTTCACTTTTTATTGTGAATTAGGTGAAGGTATTCCATTCAAAATTTCATACATATATTTTGTTTCCTGTAATTGACTGCAATCCCCACAATGAAAAATCATTTATCCCACTTTGTCTCTATGTTTCAGGTTCCATATCTCCTTCGTTCCTAGTCATTTCTACCATCTGAACTTTGTCCTTGGGCAAATACTACCCTTTTGATCTCAAAGGACTGATTATTCTAAAGGAGTGCATACCTCCATAGTGTGATTGTTCCCCTGAAAGATCTGTTTAGTGCTTGGCTGAAAACTGAAGTGAGTTCAGTTCCACACCTGAAGAGTGACTAAGAGCTATGGTTTAGAGGGTTTCACCAGTCTCCAGTAAGCCTGGTTAACCATCAGTTAACAGTATTTCTCTCTATTCACTTTAGGCTTTTAAAAACAAACAAACAAACAAACAAAAACCACTCATGCATATATAATAATTTACACCTCCAAAGGGCACATTCTGCAAGTCTGCCTCCTGGGCACCAGCTCTTAGTCCCTCTCTTCCCAAGAATCTAGAGTCCTCAGCCGCTCCCTCTCTCCATGTCCTCATCTCTGCCTCCATCCCTAGTGTCCCTGCTTCTCTGGGTAAGGTCCTGCATTCTGCTTGTGCTCTTCTCCCTTGATGGTCCTAGGGTCCTCAGTTTCTGTAATATAAGATTAACCAACTCCCCTGTTTTTGTTACAAAACTTCTACCTTTACAATTGTGACAGTTGCAATTAGTCATGATAACAATTATTCACTATTGAATAATACGACTCTTACTCCCATCTCTCTTCACCAGAAGCATCAGACAAGATGAAAACTATTCATTGGGGACTCTTTCTACTCCCCCCCCCCCAAACTAAACTCCCTCTTGACATCTTGTAAGCCAGTCATTTCATGCCTTTATCGTACCCTCATTTTAGGTAGCCAATGTTTTAAGTTGCTTAGCTCTGGTAGCGTAGTGGTTGCAAATCGGACTACGAGCCGTAAGGTCAGCAGTTCTAAACTATCAGCTGTTCCGCGGGAGAAAGACGAGGCTTTCTGCTCCCATAAAGATTTACAGCCTCGGAAACCCTGTACAGGGTCGCTATGAGTCGGAACCAACTCCACAGCACATAACAACAACAACAACATCCCTATCTATACTGTGTACAGAGGGGATAGCATTGGTACTTAATATGAAGACTCCTTCCCTCTCTGTTGGTATTTAGAGTTACTACCTTCATAAGTATAGGACAGGTTCATCAAATTGTAGTAATTTACCCTTGTTTCTGTTATCAAAAGATTTTTTGTGTGTGTAATCTTTCTTTAGTTGAGTTCTGATTATCAAGCCATCGAGGCTAGGTCAAATGGCTACTTTCTGCAAGTTTGGGTGTCCTTGTGCATCTCCCCTCACTTCACATCAGCTGGATATTTCACTCTCAGCTCTAGCCCTCTGTGGCTATGTCTTTGTCCATGGGATCAAGTGTCCCCAGGTCTCACCATACTTTGGACCAGCCAGCCCTTCCTCTTCTCTCTCATCTCCAGGTCTACGGGAGTTTGTGGAATGTGGTTAAACTTAGCCCATTTCTTCCTTGCTGCCTTTCACCCTCTTCTACTCACCAGTAGACCAATGTGGTTGCCAGGAAGCTTACATGCCTGTTTGTGTGTTCCCTTTGAGTTTCAGTCTTAGAGGGGAGTTTGTCCTGAAGGAACTTGATTTTGATTGCTTGCCTTGATGGCTTCCTGGCGAACAGCTTGCTTACTGTTGTAGTAGCTAATCATGCTGACATTTTTGTTTTGGGTTTTTCCTGATGACCTTTCTTGGAAGATGTATCTTCTGTTGCTCTAGCTGTTCCAGGATGGTCTGCTTGTTCTTCCTAGTGGGAATGTCCCACCTCATAAGGTTGTGGATGGAACTCAGGATTCCACCTAAGTTCCTATACTCTGCAAAGGCTTTGCGAGAGGCCCATTTCACTGGGCAAGTTCTAGAACCCCTTTTAGGTATTCCAGTCATTTATAGGCTGAAGATGGGCTTACAAGTCTTCTCTAACCATGTTTCCCTACATTCCTTTCTATCCCACTCAAGTGTCTATTTTACAATAGTAGGCAAGGGAAACCAATATTCATAAGACAGTCAAGCATTTTAGTATTATTTCCCCTCTTCAAACTATGCCTAAATCCCTGTATCACAGAGCACTGTTGTTCCAAGGTTGAGCATGCATCACTATTTACCTCTGTCCCACTTATGCCATGTAAACCTGTCTCGGTGTTCCCCTACCCCTATCTATCTTGTTCTTCCGCCTCCTCCTCCTTCTTGTATTGCCCTCCCTAACACCCAAACTAAACCCTCCACCCCAAACCCCACTGTTGTGGTTACCTTATATTCCATTAATTCTTCCCTCCATTTAAGACAGTCTATTTTATCCTGTAATCTACCTGACC